CGCCGGAATATCACAACCTCTTGATATCCGGAGTATTCGGCTACATGCCATGCTCATGCCACTTAGGTATCAAAGTCCGTCCCAGCACCATTCAGACCGCAAAACGGTTCCGTTGCGTTGAATGGTATATAATTTGAATTTCTTGTCTTAGCAAACCAGATCTGATCGCACTACCTTTCAGTAATGTAGGATTTACGGATAAAAAAAATGCTACACGACACGTAAAGTGCTTTAATAACCCTGTTGAATGTTTGAAATGGTATTTACTCACGCTTGATGTGATTGAATCTAATCGTTGAATTATACGACAGTGGTACTTCCTTTTCACGTGCTGATTATATGAAAAGTCATCAAAAGACTTGCACAATTCCGAAAAAGAAATAATTCTTGATGATATTTGAAAACCTTCTGAGTATGTACGCTATATTTCTGTCTCTCTTTGCCGTCCAATTCATTCCCTCTATTTCAGCCTAGGGTCCAGCTTTCAATTCCATGAAATTAGAGAGAAAACATTTCATTGCTGTTCCAATTAAAACGATATAATTCCTTTCTCAAGATATGCTATTTATTATAAAAGAAAAAAAATGAGAACCTAAGTCAAGTGTTGGAACTTCTACACAGAAAGCAATAGATAAGGCGCTAGTGACTGTTAAGACTCAAGTTCTTCCATTGCGGGGCCGTTCCCGTAAACGAAAACCGCTAGAAAGCTCAAGTAAAGAAATAGAGCGTCTATTATATATCTCCACTATGTGAAATGGAGTCCCGAATTTGCGGTTTCGTAATACGCTTGACTCGGTTTGGGTACAAAGAACGCGTTGCAAACGTATGAAGTGTATAGTACAAGTACCTAGTTTAAGTACCTACTACCGGTAATACCATACCCGGTTCCCATCAATGACATACTACATTGTTCGCAAACCCAAAAAAATCTAATACAAAGGACTCCAAAAAGGTCATCTATCTTGCAACTTACTAGAAATGAAGCTTTTTCTTTGATAAGTGACAACGAGGACCTTCAGGGAAATTCGTGGCAGGCACTGGCAGATCTCCGGAAAGGATAAATTACTCTTTCTGTTCCGCTTCCGCTTCTGCGCTCTTGTCTATGTCATCCCCATTCACACCGGGAAAAGCTTTAGGATCCTCAGTAAGAGGCTTAGGGGTTATCCCGGCGTCAAAAGATTGGCCAATCAACCTATGTCCAGGAACGTGCCTGAATAACTCCATTTTCGATCTTTACGCGTTATTACATGATTATTATGATACAACAATAATCTCTTTCTATTACTTATTGAGATAGCAGGAGGCCAGGACAACCCCGAATGCGATGCTCCAGCAGAGATGGATGTAAGTAGAGTCATAGAACCTTACTGCCAAGCTGAAAAAGGCTAAACATTGAATTTGAGGTATAACCAATAAGAAAATTCTGAATCACATCCAACACGGGTAATGGATGGGTACTTGTGTTAGGTAATAGTAATGATAGTGAGAGTCATGACCGTCAAGTACTTCATATCGCCGAAGGGTCTACTCAGATCTGAAAGGAGGATTGGCGTTGTTAGGGAATCTCTAATGCGTAGTATTGACAGAAAGAATACCGCCATAGGGGACAGCCCTTAGGTCTACGTCAACATCAATCGATCACCGAAGCTAGGACGGCTATAGTAAGACATAATGAAGTGTTTGTTTGTTTCCATTATATACCATTGTATCGCCATTGCCTTGTGTCATATGGGTTGGGATTGTTCTTAAATATTATATAAACCACTCACTAGGTCTGACTACACTTGAGTTCCGTATATTATCGTTATACGGGGCTGGGGTACATTTTATGGTTGCGTTCAATAGTACTAGTATTGAAGAGATAAACCGTCATCAAATGGCTATATTTCTCTATTACGGCTCCCTATGTTCCTTCAACTCCATATTACGTTCCAGTTGGATGCCTCCAGAGTTATAAGCAGACCACCTGCCAGAGCCATAATCTAAATGTTGGCTGCTAACTTGAAGGGGGTCCGATACATGCGGATAAAGCGAATGGAAATATATTGAAAATTCTTGGACCCCGTTTCATCAGCGGATCCGCCTACACACCGCAGAAAGATCTCGACTCGAAACCATGGACCTCCATGGCTCCAGCATTGGCACCGATACCGATGTTCATCACTCCAGATGCTGTCAGTTGGAGACATGGAGACATCGGAGAAAGATTATGTGCGAAGGAAGTATGTTAACGTATGGTCAATCGATTTAACCAAACCACCTTCCACGTCACATGTGCCCCAGCCGTCAACCAGATGATAAGTCCCGGCGCTACGACGGAGGCAGTCCAGCAACTGGAGTCATCAGCTAGCTGAGTAGAGGCCAACATTGGTAACCGGAGTTGCCGAGATATTGCGGTAGGTCCCGCTGGGGCGGCCAATATTCGGACTACCTCAGCTCTGGAGAAATGCGCAAAGGTTGCCCGTGGGTGGAGACCAAAGGGAATTCTAGTTTGGTGGGTGTCCCAACGGTGATTTATATACACAGCTACTAAAGCTGTGCCGCGGTACAAGTTGGCCAAACCTAGACAAACGGGCGGTTGAACAAAAGGTCCCGACCTGCCGATGCCAAAGGTGTGACACTTGAGAGGCACCCTCCATTCAATTGGCTGTCAGATGTACGCCAGCGATTTCCAACCGAAGTGTGCAATTGCAATTCGAATTAAATGGACCTGAAACCACGTGAATCCTGTTCCCAGCGTACCTACAAATGTATGATTATGGTGGAATTACATGCTGCTGCTGGATATGCACGGGCATCTTTCCCTCAAAGCATTCATTGGTGTTTATGTTTGAACTACCATCTCTTGCGGCTGACCAATGGTCTGGGCTGATTATTCTAGTGCATTTCTACAATATCTTTACGGAGCAGTGTAGCTCCCTGATTCGCGTTCTTCGTTGTGCTTCAGTGGTCATTCGAAGCGTCGCGGATCATCAAAAGCGATTAAACATAATCAGCCGGATACATGTCTTTCTTCTATATTTAACGAATAGTTTAATAGTTTACACCAATAAGTGCGAGCCACAATCTCAGAGCACGAATGGAAGGAGTTTTGAGGGGAGAAGGATTGTTGTAAAAGAGCGAGAGAACAAAATGAATCGAAAATACCCCGATGAATGACAAAGCCGCAAATATCACTGTTGGGCCGCGCACGATGCCTTTTGATGCTTTTTCACATAGTCTGTACGCGAAAAGGTGCGACCGCTATACGGTTATCGGTTTATTTTAACAGCTAACTGTAATTGTTTATCATGAATGCGTACCAGCGGAAACATTCAACTGGGTTGTTGGAACTCTTTACATGACGATTGGCGTTCTTCTTACTTGCGAAAGCCACATTGCTTTAAAATATATTTCAACCAGACAAATTAACTGAAGAGAGGTGTTGTAAATACCATTGTACACATCGAAACCTTTTGGCCGTGTGGACTTTGTTGGCACGAAATTTGACACGCAAGTAGCATGAGCATTCCCGACGACCTAATTCGTCGAGCGCACGGGCGTGATGCTGAGGTGTAGGGCAGACATCGGAGATAGGTTGTATAGTGTGATTCTGCCTGGCGATTTCCAGGTTGTTGGCAACGTTTGCAGGCGTCGAAGGCACATTGAAATTGATGACATTGCATGGGTTAGAGGCTGAGGGATAAATGGGCAACCTAATCAAAGAGGATGGGCTAGCCCCTTGTAGGTTGAAGGATCATCAACAGGAAATTCATGTATTATGTTCTGGGCAGCACGTACCAACAAGATGAGGGTCTATGACATGATCGCCGGGGTAATACTGTTCATGGCCGGCCGAAGGAAGACGGTTCGAGGCTTGATGTCAACAGCGCTAAGGTGATGATCTTTATACAGAGAAGCGATGCACCTACCCCTAACCTCAGCGGCCCCTGGGAGGTCATAAATCCACCCGGCGTCATTCATGCCCCTATCAGAGGTATCGTATCCTGTGTGACTTGAAGCAAGCTGTTCAATAGCGACTTGAGGGGCTGCAGTGTCAAACATTGTTGTCAAGAAGGGGGTGCTGAAAGGGACTGTGGGATCTGCATGCAGCCCATCAGACTCGCCGAATAACGATGTAAGGAACCACCCCACCTCTCATGCCAATGCTTGGAAAGTTCCCAAGTACGTTGTTATTGGAGGTTTGCATGATGTTACCATTGGGGGTTCTCGTGGTGACTTGCATATCATTGAAGTAGGATGGATTAGGTAAATTCACGGAAGATTCTTCATCATCCTCGTTACGGGAGGGAAAAAAGGACTTCCACATGATAGAAAGACGTTAAAGCAAGGAGGATATGGGCATTGGTGGATCCTTTATACATCTTTAACGCGTTGTCGAGGTGAGGCTGGCGCATTGCACCGAAAGAATTATGAATCTCCAAATAGGTGACAGCATCAACCACCCCGGAGATCCGGCCACGCCAATCTGGATCCAAATAATTTAATAAACTTACTGCGCACCATCCCTTTTTTAAATAGAGTTAACTATTGTCATCCCAACGATTAGAGATAGATTCTGGCATCGGCTCGCCCACTACCTTCTTAAATTAACGCGTTTTCGGTAGTACTCAATTCGATCTAGGTCTCTTGTAGGAGTATACGCTTTTCCAAGCGTTTCGAACACTCATTCACAAGTCATGCATATCTCTGAGGACGTCATCCCTTGAAATGATTTACGTTCACTTATTATTGATCCACACCTTCAAGTGAGATATGGTAATCCGTCCTGGTGTCTTTGGAAAAAAATTGGGGTATTTAGTGGATTCCACTATTTTCTACTGCACCTGACCGAATATAAGTAATGTATCCGAAACCCTTATGTAAATATAAGGGTTTTCCATTTCATATCTTTGGCGGCCACTTTTAAATTTAAGGGGACTTAGAATTTCTCTAAAGGGTTATTCTAAGAAGCTCTATTAGTCAATTCGTTCTAGTTCTTTAGAAGTGTAGAAAATGAATGGCCAGACTGTGAATTGAACCCAGGGCTTCTGCATAAATAGCAAGGGCGTCACCAATTACACCACCTGACCCCTGGGTAACGGTGCTAACATTACATAGTCTAACAGTTCTAAACCTTACACGTGCGCCGTATGAGGTGAGCTGAAAATACACCAGCGCCTATCATATAACCCCACATCGTCGGAAGTTACAAGTCAACCGAAAAATACAATAAAGTAACCAATTAATCTAAAAAAGAGAGAGACACAGAGAGATGTAGGGATAAATAACGCCAAAGACATCTTGAGTTCAAAGTAAGCATGAACATGATATTCAAGTAATTTTTCATTTATTTAATACATTTGTATACCGCATCGCAACACGTAGATACATAACGGTTGGGAGTAGGTACCCTAATGGTAGGTGGATAGGTATGTAGGTAATTAATTGGAGATTGGAGATGCAAATTGAGATGCTTAAGAGATAGACGATACGACGAGTGATGCCATACGTCAAAAGGAGATGGAATACCTCTTACAGTATTGTATGGGGTGCCTCCCGGGCGTCACACCTTTGGCAGCAGATGGTCGGTACCTTTTTCTACCGTGTGAAGTGATGGGGCAGTTCTCAACCATGCCCTTATCCAGCTAGTTACTGCCACTTTGTACCGCGGTACAGTGTTGGAAGCTGTTCATATAAAGTAGGATTGAGACACCCATAAGGCTAAAATGCTTCCTAGTTGTCGCTCATGGGAAACCTCACGCACTTCCCCGACACTGAAATATTCTGCACCTACAGATACGGTTTCTCTCACCGGGACATACCGCAACCTCTTGACAACCTTCCACTTACCTAATAGTCCAATTGCTGACTTCCCTCTGGCGGCGGTTGGGTACATGTAATTGTAGAAAGTATACGGTATAGGAAACGGACAGAGTTAAGTTCAAATTACTAACCACTGTAGAGTACTACATAGTCGAGCATCTTTTGAATAAACTACATCTAGTATAGTATAACCAACAAGAGCGCAGCAAGACCGTAAGTATCCTTAACGGCTTGTACACGATACCAATAAATTCCAGTAGTAATGCGGAAAGCACTTTACTTAAATGGTCCAATCATACGTTTATACACTCCTACCGCAGGCATCCTCACAAATTACAGCATCTGGAGCGAAGAGCGTCGAATCCTTGCCAATGTTGGATGAAGGTCGACTTTTTCAAGTTAAGTTCTTTAGGCGAGCACCGATGATGTAATGGAGGTCTGAGAACGCTTCGTGGTGTTATGTAAATTCACTTTCTCCAGTAGTATCGGACCGCCCGGGCTTTTCTCAAATGCCACGCATAAACGTTTCGAGTCGTTAATGGACATTACTCCAACCATCACTGATACGTATCCATTATCAAATAACTGTCACGGGTGTAAGATGAGAACTGGTAATCATAGGCTTGGGTAGAAGTTTCATCCTCATCGCTATAGTTATGCTGTTCAGTCATAGTTCGATGTCGAATAACGGAGCATTGTTTGAGGCTTACAAGGACGAACTGGCTCCCTGGTTCCTTGTGTGTTGACGGGGTAGGCGTAGTATTTCGCATGACTCACCCTCAAGGAACCGCGACGCTTGGCCCACAGAACGGAAGGCGGGGGCCCCAAATTTGCAGGAGACTGATGTGTGTGGGGCTGGGGGTGTCCATTCCATAAAACCTGATCTTCTGGGCTGGTGTGCACGCACAGCCCACCATCGGAGATTTAGGAAAGTGTATGGAAAATTGCATCTGTAACTACTTCTTCCAACTACTACCCTCTTTAATAAGTTATCGGTTTGGCGGAAAATTAAGACCTCAGCAGGCAATGTGGATATCGGGGTAATTGGTATCAATATTGATACGGCAAATGTTCCATATTTATTACAAATACCGATTCAGGGAGTTACGGCTCACTTCAAAACATAACTTGAGTTAAACACATAAGGGGAACTAGGATTTTATTAAATCCCCAACAAGGACACCGGGGACCAGAGAGAATTCACCACCTAGTCACAGTATCCCAATATATAGTTCAACTTTGGTGAAGTCATCAGAAGTGGGATAGTGTAACGGTGTGGGGCCAATGTTTAATCTCTTGCTTGCTTGTATGACCCCTCGCCATTATCATTGCAAACAGTAACGCTGCGAAATATACCTATATAAATTTAATTTCTGATTCTTTAAATTTTTTTCATTTTTCTTGAAGCTCGCAGCGGTGTCTTCGGTTGAAGTCGACTAGCGTAGAAGCCGGCGATCATTCGTGGTAAGCGGCGCTTCCGGGAATTAACCGCTTACGCGTTCATATGGAAAGGCCACCCGGGGAACTACAGCTATGTCCAGTTATCTACCTTCCGGAACTAACAGAGGAGTAACGTACCAGGGAAATGGTGGGTACCGGTCATAGTGGAATTCATCTATGTACCACCAACTTTATGCAAATATTTTAGTATCGTCAAATAAATTCTATTTTTTGTCCCTCGTGATACCATTGGCACGAATAAATCTTCTGAGGGAGGAAAACTTTCACATGACTTTCAATTTGAGGTGACATACGCTGTACAACACAGTGTAATATCGAACGGAAACAGCCGCTGGGACCGCCTGCGGGATCCCCACCCGGTAGAATGAGACACCCGATGAAATTTTGGATAACTTGAAATTTCTTAAACATCCTCACCGGATTTTTTAAGAATATGGAAAATTACCGGGATTATAATTTGCAAATATCAAAGGTAGTTAGACGGCGGGCATTAGAAGTGGATAAAAGTGGCAGAGATTTGGCCATGGCAATGAAGTAAATTTGTCAGGTTAGACACTGAGGAAGTGGGGGTTCGAAATTGCCGGAGTGGAAACTGCAGGGATCAGAGTTGCGGTGTGATATCATCCAGCTATCCCAAGTATCGCCGAGTGCTTCACCCTTGACACAGCTGCCATACTCTATAAGTTATTTTAATCTTGACCATGTAAACATAGCATGAGTGAAAGCATCTTTAAACAAAATACGCAGTTATATTAAGTGACTCTCAGTGAGTGGTAACTCCACTGAGAAGCTACGCTACCAAGCGTCAGGCTACAATGTTACAACCGTCCATGTTCCTGAACTGTATTGGTGCGTTCGCCTGATACTGCGCTGGATGATTATGAACTAGCTAAAGCTCCGTTGGTTTGTCTGGGACACAGGCTTACAAGAATTGTGTACTCCTTGTGCTCATAATTACGTTGTCGCCAATTTATAATGAAGATTCTATTATGGTTTTTATATTTGTGTACATGTATTGTGAGTTTATATTAATATTCTCGATATAAATCTATGAAATACTGTGAATGCAAAAGCATTTTGGCAATGTAGACCACCAAGATGGAGTTGAATGGCGGCTTCCAGCGATGACGCTGAAGTTGTTCTGAGACTTTGCGAGGTGCGCAACTTCCGCCCCCATTTTGAACTACCTACCGTGGCATAAGATTATAGTGGATGACGTTTGCTTTCATCTACCCAAAGATGCTACCTTACAGCATCCCATTCAGGCCATAGACGATTAAATTACATATTTTAGGCGTGATGCTTGGTATTCTAAGTAAAAATTCAATCAATATTGTCCTACAGAAATTTGAGGATTCATGTTGTTCCCATTGGTCTTACAGATTGCTGTTTCCTTCGGTTTTTCCATATTTGCTACTGCTAGGTCCACCTGTCAGTACATCCCTGTAGTCACCCCGATCTATATTTAAGCGTATCAAAGTTCTCTATCGCATCTGTAGCTAACCGGTTAGACCGAGTGGGTATTTTTCGAACCAAAGCAATTATCGGTTCGGTTCGCGAACTGGTGATAACCGAGTTGGGTTGAAACCCAATGAAGTGCTAGGCCCTGATAATTAGTGAACGAGTGACATTTTACACACAAAGTCCGATCATTAGTCCCCGGGTGCTTTCATGTAGTCTAGAGAGGCGAACACGATCAAATATGTTTCCTCAACTGAAATCTGCATATCAACCGGCTCGCCCCACAACTCCCCCACGCGTTGTTGATTTTCTCTAATATACACTCTTCGGTTCCCGACCCTGGAGCGGAGTTAATGCGTGGCATAGCATGGTCCAAACGGAACACCTTTGCGATATGTAATGGTGTGGTCACCCACCTCCTTTATGCAGCAACTAAGCCTGCCCACCACCGCTTCCCGCTCTTCAAAGGCAGGCCATTATACCGGAACATCCGACCTCACCGATCAGACATCATGACATTACAGCCACAAGTTTAGATATATCCACAAGACATCCACTTATTACTTCACAAGAGGCTTAACAAATTCATTTGCAGCGGCATGATAGTTAGGCAAAAAGGTGCAACCGGCATCCGAGTTGGTAGGCATCAGCCATATGTATATGCCAAGGATGAAGGTACCATATAAGACAAATATTGTTGGAAATGGTGAAGAAACACCCACCTTTTGGGGGGCAGTTTACCCTTCTTCTCTTACCAAATACTTGAAAATGCATATTGTGGACCATCCTTAGTGAGACTGATGCATGATTTAACCCATGTACTAAACTATCACCAGACCTATCATGTCAGAAGGTGATTTACTAACTGACACATTGATCAATACAGGTACTTCATTACAAGCTTATTAAAGCCTTGTAGTTTGTGCAGTTACAATAAGCTAATTCATACTATGTTTTTATAGTCGTTTGTACACACTAAAAGGCATGAAAGGAAATGAGAGGAGTGAGGGGAGTCAATCAGAAAACTGTACAAATTAATCATATCAAGGATGAAATACTGAAGCTTCAAGTACCACCAAAACATTTTACAGAATTGCAAAAAGTCACTCTTCAACTTGATTCTTATTATTGGAGAAGAGAAAGTGGATGTCAACAAGATTCAACTAGGGCTATGAGTGAGGTTTGTGTATTTTATATATTTATATTGTTTGCCGTAGAATTAATATATCATCAAATTCAATTTATTAGCTGACATTCTGTAGAATGAGGAAATATTTATATTTATCTTGTAGCTCACAAGGGTTAGTCAAACAAACATATGTAGATTATCCTTTGGGGATAAATT